CTGGTGGCACTGGCAGCACAGGCACGCGCCACCCCCCTGCTCTCCCCGAGGAGGATTTGGTTTCCGCATGGGGGTGCAGGTGGAGTGGTCAGGTGTGGTGGGTCAAGAAGAGGGGAAGAAACCCATACCCTAAATTGGGTTGAAAAGCCAAACTTCAAAAATCCTCTGGGCTGCGGCACAACCCCCTGTCTCCCCACTGCCTCTGTTCTCCCGTCTCTCCCTGGCCGCTCCCTTCTCTGACCCCCCCGATTCCTCCTGATGTTGAGCCTGCACCCCACAAGCCAGCACCCCACTGCTGTGCCTGCGCCCCATAACACTTCTGGCCGCCCAGACACCCCGTGGGGAGGCAAGCCATGACAACGATGTGGCTGTCCCCTGCCCTCCGAAAAGCAAGGCTGGGGGGGTACCTCCGCTGGACCACCTCGGGGGCCCTGCTGGCAAGCCGGGATGGAGGGTGCCAAGCCCCTTCGGTGCACTCCGAGGGGAGTTTTCTGCAAGGACGGGCTCTGCAGACCCCTCCTCTGTCCTCGGCATCTCCAGGCGGCTGGGCAGAGTGGGGCACGGTGCTGGCAAAAGAAAGAGCTTGAAGGCTTCACAACCATAAAAATAATAAATACAACATCTTCCTCCCGCACTGCATCGAACGACCGTGCTGGCCCTCCTCGGGCCCGGCCCTTCCTCCGTCCATCCCAGAGAGATCGCTGCTCCTTGGTGTTGGTCACTGCAGGGTCCCAAAGGGCTTGGCATGGAAACAGTCACGAGAAAGGCGAGCGTCCTGGGGTCTGCCACGCCGGGCTGCAGGGGGAAAGCTGTCCCGCTTCCTACTGCAGCAGCTTCGGTACCTCCACCTGCCGGGGAAGACACTCCGTTACTGGGAGGAGTGGGGAGCAATGAAAAGGGATGCTGGAATGGCCTGGGAACCTGCTGCGGTGGAGCTGGCCCCCTCTCTCCGTTGCTGCCAGGAATGCTCAGTGCTCCAGGGACATCTCTTCCTCTTGGCCAGGCTGGTTGTCCCCAGGCTCCAGCTCGTGGACAGCCTGGCCAGGGACATAAAACCACCTGGGGCGAGGGAGGTGTTTCAAGGCATTGTGCTGGGACCGGCGTTGGAGACGCAGCCTCTCTGGCCAGCCTGGGCTACCTCCCACTCCCATGGGAGTGGGTTCAGCCATGCCAACGCGGCAGCAAGAGCTTGGTGAGTCTCTGCCCTTGGGGACCCACTGCCTGTGTGCTCTTGCCTGCATGGACACTGGTCTACAGTGGGTTGTGAGCCTCCCTCGCTGCGGCTAAGCACTGCTCCTTTTCTGCATGGGGAGGTCTTGGATTTCCATCCCCTGGGGTTATAGGTTAAAGCCGGCTTCTTCCTTGTGTGCCAAACCCTGGAGCCAAACCTGACTGCTGGAATGAGGTGGATCTGCCCACCGCAGCGACTTTGCCACGGGATGGATCTGCCTCTTTCATGCTCTCTGCCAAGGGATGGATCTTCTCCTGTTGCCCTGTCATGGGATGGATCTACTGACCCCATCTGCTCTGCAAGGGATGGATCTGCCTGCCCCGTGTTCTCGGCAAAGGGATGGATTTGCCCCTGCCACGTGCTCTGTGCGCGGCTTGGGACCATGGATGTCCCACTCTGTATCCTGCACTGGAGAAGGACAGCCCTCACCTCTCCACTACCCAAGTGATAATGAACATGACCTCAGATCTCACCCCACAGAGGGCGCTGCCTGAGGCGACCCGACCGCAGCCCTGCACTTGCCTTCTTGAGCTGTTTGAGGTTGCTGGAGCGGATGGCTGCCAGGAGCTGGTCCCGTGAGTTCTTCTCTTGGACCGGCAGCACCCGGTCTCCCAACTTCCTCTGTGTGGCCGGCGAGAGCGAGTTCCTCAGGTTCTCGTTGATCAGTGGTGGGGCGAGCGGAGGAGGAGGTGGGGGTGGTGCGGCAGGGTCCCCCCCCTTCTTGGGAGAGCTTTTGGGGGAAGCCTTGGGGGATGGCTGTGGGGATGGCTTGGGGGACCCCTTTGGCAGGGCTCCGGGCTTGGGCACCTCCAGGAGGTCTTTCTTCTCCCCGCGTTCCTGTGCCAGTTTCTGCTCCTGGAGGCGTTTCTGCCTCTGTTTGTCCATGTTTCGGCTCAGCAGGTTGGTGACTGTCATGCGTGGTCCGGCCAGCTCGAAGTGGTAGCCCAGCTTCAGGAGTGTGGTGTTTTCCTTCAAGAGCTTGGCAATCTCCATCTCCGTCTTCCCCCCACAGATGTGCCGCTGGTTGTGGAAACGCAGTTCTGTCAGCGTGTTGTTCTGCAGCAGTGCCCGGAAAATGGCCAGGATGCCCTTGCCTGTGATGTGGTTGGAATCCAGGTTGATGCTTGTCAGCACTTTGTTGGACTTCAGCATGATGGCAATGGCGAAGGCCACATGGTCGTCAGCACGGGTGTTGGCCAAGGCAAACAGCTTGACCACGGTGTTGAACTCCAGGGCCTCAGTGAAGCGCACTAGGGTCTCATTGTTGATACAGTCTGAGTTGTTCACGTTCACTTCGGTGACCTCAGCGTCGTTGTTCTTCACCTTCTCGATAAGCTCATCAAAAATGCTGGAGGCTTCATCATCCTTGGCTTGATCTGAGGAGCTGCCGGTGGTGGGCTTGGAGGGGCTGCTCTCGGCTGCCACCTTGGCCTCCTGTTTCTCCTCCACTGCCTTTTCTGCCTCTGGCTGGGATTTCTCCTTCTCGACTGCCTTTGATTTTTTCAAAGCTGAACTCTTTTCCTCTTCTTTTTTATCATTTTCTTTCTTGTCTTCTCCCTTTGTGTCTTTTCCTGCCTCTTTTTTTAATCCTGAACTCTTATCTTCCTCCTTTTTGTCCTTCCCTGTGCCCTTCTTCAATGCAGAACCCTTTTCTTCTTCTTTTTTGTCCTTCCCTGTCTCCTTCTTTGCTGCTGAGCCCTTCTCATCTTCCTTTTTATCCTTGCCTGCATCCTTCTTTAATGCTGAGCCCTTTTCTTCCTCCTTTTTATCCTTCCTTGCATCCTTCTTTAACGCTGAACCCTTTTCTTCATCTTTTTTATCCTTCCCTGTGTCCTTCAACGTTGAGCCCTTCTCTTCCTCTTTTTTGTCCTTCCCCATCAGCTTTTTCTCCATGGCCTTGACTTTGCTGTTGATAGCGCTCTCTTCTTTGGTCTTGGTCTCAGCCTCAGCTTTAACTTTTGGGTCTGTTTTCTGAACACTTTCTTCCTTTTTAGAGTCTTTCCCCACTTTTGTATCTCGTTTCCGGGCCAGGTCTTTGGAAGGAGATTCCTTTCCCTTTTCTTCTTCATTCTTGGCTCCCTTATTCTTCTCGCTCAATCTGCTCTCCTAACAAGAGAAAAACACCAGGGGCGTTACAAAGTCTGACCTCCAGACTCACCACCCCAGTCTCACTGTCACTAACTCGGCACCTCCGTCACACAGGAGCAGCCACGGGGCCCCACTGCAGCTGGGGAAGATGCATGGGAGGATGCAGGACAGCCCGGCCTCAGGAAGGTCTTGGACTACGCCTGCAAGGGAGGAGCTGCTGTAAAACAGGCATTTCTGATAGAAACTGGGTGAGAGCATCGTGGAGGCAACAGGAGGCAACAGGGAGGTGCCATGTTTGCCTCTAAGGACAACCAGCGCTGGTCTGTGGCATGGCAGGGGACAGACCCGCGGCTAGGACTCTTGAGGGAGGTAAGCGACCTGCTGCAAATCATGACAGTTTAGCTCTGAATACAGGCCAGAGCCTCCTCCATCTCACCCGAGTGATTTACCACTGTACGTTCACACACTGCAGCCTGTGGTGGTGCTTTGGGAAAGGAAAGTTTAACCCAGCCAAGGTCTTGGGTCCAGAGGAGGATTCAGCATCCGAGTGCCCCGAATGTAGGCAGAACCTACAGGACCCAGGCATGCTGAGGTCCCACTGCAGATCTCTAAGGCATCACTGTTCTCCTCCCATCACCAGTCCCTTCCCAAAGGGCTCCAGAGGTCTGTAGGTTGCCCTCCTTCATCCCCAATGAACAGACGATAACCTAACAAGCAGCAGGATGCATCTCCCTTAGTGGACTGTGCTGTTTGATCCCTTCCTATCACACCTCCTAAAAGTTATCCTCTTTTTAATCACCTTTTTAACCAAGGATGGATCTAGTGCCTGCACCTCTCTGAATCCCAGGTGCTTTCTCAGCTTTTCTAAATGGTTTCCAGCTGGATGTTCTGCAGTTTTGCCCAGTCCAGACCCCAACACACTTCCTGTGCTGGCCTGGACGTGTGTGCAAGCAGGGGAGCATCCACAGCCAGTGACACTGGGCTCTCTGAAATGGGCCTCCTTTTAACATGAGTTTGCATTTTCTATCTCCCTGCAGAAAACCAAGGAGATGGGGACATTTGGCATTTATTGCTTTGTAATGCATGTTTTCTCAGCACATCTTCTTCCAGTGTCCAAAGGCATCATAGGAGGGAAGAGCTTAACTGGAGTGGTCTTGGGGAAGGATGCAGATTTTGCTGCATGCGTTGGGCATAGCAGTGTCACTGCAGCTGGCACCTCCTTCCCCTGCCCTGAGGTCTCCCCACCTCTCTGTGCCAAGAAGTCATGCAGCAGTGCCCTGGACCTCCTGAGTTTCTTCTTTTGTCTCCAATCCAGCCAAGATGCCTGCTCATTCCTTAGTGGGCTGGCAAACATCAGTGCTTCTGTTTTGTCTGCCTCCTTGTATATTCACTCTTCAAAAGCAATTTTTGCCTTTGCTTTTATGCTTATCATGATGCCACCATTGTGTTCACGGGACTTTGATATGCAGGAAGAGCTTAGTTTGGCTTTTGGGTCTCCAGTGCTGACCTTCAGGCAGCAACTACATCCTCCCTGCATGCAGACAGATGCAACCCTGAGGCTTGATGGCTATTTTCTTACAAACTACCTCTGCCAGCAAAAGATTTTGTCTTTCCCTTCATGCTTTAGGGCCATTTGATCGTTTGCCTCTTGTCAATCAAACCCCCTTTTCACATAATTTTTGGTACTTTTGTCAAGCAACTAAACCTCATCCTTGGCACAGCCTGTCTTGTGCATTGCTGCGGACCACAGCCAGCATTGGCAGCTCCAGGACACAAAAAATGCCTCGTTGCAGCCTTCACCCATGGCCAATGGGGCTGGAAGAGTCTCCTGTCATAGGAAGACAACATGTTCTGCTTCTACGACCACAGCCATGGACAGCAGCTCGGTGCATGCAGCCTTCCAACCTGTTGGTTTTCTTATGGTGCCAGATTTGCTTCCTTGTGTGCCTGGAGAGATGCAGGTGCAGGACTAAGACTTTGTTACAGCAAGGCAGTAAGAGCAGGGCACCAGGACAGGATTCACGTCCCCAAACATCAGATATGAGACACCTCCACTCCCAACAGAGAGGAGCCAATGCTATGAACAGTTAACTGAAGACAGATGAACCCCTGATGTTGGGACCAAGTTTGCTCTATAGAGGAGGATCCTACTGTAAAGTTTGCCTCTGGGTTTGGCAGTTTAAACCTCCTTCTCCCTGCTCTGCAGCTGGGGAGCACGCAGCTCCTAACCCTCGCGGCTGGCCCGGCTCTTCCTGGGTGCCTGGCTTTGGCAGCACGGCTCGGCTCTGCGTGCCAGCTGGTGCCATGGGGTTTCTGTCTGGAGATGAGCAGAGGGTGATGTGCTGAGACTCTGCTAGCTAGGAGCTGTGGTTAGGTCAGGCTCAGATCTACAGCTGTGGGATTAATCTGGGCGTCCTCAGCTCGACCACAGCGATGCTGTCTGAAGGAGGAGGAGGAAGCACCAAGGTGAGGGGTCATCTTTGCCGGGGGGACTTGGGACTTTGGGGAAAGAAGGAAGAAAGATGCCTCTGGGAGATGCAGCTGTGATGCCTTTACGAGCTCCCTGGCTCCTCCCTGGGATAGGACAGCACCATGGCTTCACCCAGTGCCTTGAACCCCCAAATCCAGAGTCCAGAGACCCTGGTCTGCAGCCAGGGCTGGCCTCTTCCTCCAGATGATGCCCTGGCCAAGGTCTTCCCCAGCCCAGGGCACTGTGGTGCCCGTACCAAGGCAGAGCGTGGCTCTGCCTTCCCAGCACATGGCACTGCTGGCCCTCGGGGACTGCTTTTTTTGTGGAAAGAACTGGCCTGGCTGTTAGCAGGGCAGCCGTGGGGACTGTTTGTACCTGGCTTATAAACAGATGCCATCTGGGACGAAAGAGCTATTTATTTAGTTAAGAGATTTCTTGGCTCTCCTGCACGGACCTAAACAGGTGACAGAAAGGCATATGCCAGGCCTCTACAGAGCCCGTCCCTGCGTCCACACAGCCCCTTGCTGCTGCAAATCCCAGGGACCAGGGATGGGGCTCCCAGGGGTGCCCCAGTGCCAGAACCCCCCTGTCCCGGGGGCTGCAGGGAGCACATGATGCCACCTCCTCTGGCACTGAGCTGGTGGCCCTTCTCACCACGATGTGCCCTGTTCCCAGGGCTGGGATGGTGCAAGGATGCTCAGTGAAATCCTGAACCACCTCGGTGAAGGAAGAGCCACGTCTGTCCTGGCAGAAGGCTGGACAGGAGGTGTGTGTGCGATGAGGATGCTGCTGCCTCGCTCTGTCCCTGCACACTGATGCCTGATGGTGCCTTTCAAAGGTGTTTGGGGATGTCCCAGGTTAGAGGTTTCTTGCAGGTCCCTGCAAGAAGAGACAGTTGCCCCCCCAGGGCTCTGAAGCCCTTCAGTGTCCACTCGAGCACTCCTCGAGTCAGAGCCAGGAGCCTCATCTCCACACCAAGCTCTCCAAAAAGCCTTCTCCTTGCCAGCCCACGCTCACACAACTTGACATTTGGGAGCCCTTAGTCTCCCCTAAGCTCCCTGGGCCATCCAAGTCCAACCACAGCAAAGGCTTTGGCCAGAAATTAGCAGATCTTGGAGAAAGGGAGGAAAACCCTGGAGAGAAGGACCTACATCATCTCCCATGCTCAGAGAAGGCAACAGATTTCTCCAAACAAGATGAAACTAGAGCAAAATAAGATGCCTAGCCATTCTCTGCTTAGCAAAGCCGCTGTAGCGAGTGCTGGGAATGTCTTTTGATCATATTATTAGTGCTGTTCTCATTAAACAGTGCATCCATGGATGTGTTGCCACATGTCCAGGTGCTGCAGTGTAGGGCAAGTCTTTGGGAAGGAGGGTACTGGAGCCAGAAAAAAGGACGTGGAAAAGGAGCCAGCTGTGCCCCTGGGCAGGGGAGAAAAGGAAGACAACGGATGTTCAGTGACCGGCCACGGGTGTTACTGCCACTGTGGGCAGTGTTTGTGGGATCACATGCATTCAGCAAATTTGGGATGCGCTGGAAGGATCTTGTCAAAGAGCTGCAAGTTATTGCAGAAAGTACTGTCTGGTAGCAAGGGGTAAGGGTGTTCAAGCTGTTTCATTGCATGCAGAGCTGCCTTGACCGTGGCACCCCTGTACGTGCTGGGGAAGGCCCTCTGCAAGCGCCCAGCTCCATCAGCAGTGGCAGAAGGGGAGGAATCAGGAGCAAAAACTTGCAGGTAAGAAATCAGATCTGTGTTTCTAAAACCAAAGGTCACTCTTACCCATCCACCACTGGCTGCACAAGACTCTCCATCCCTTGGTGGAGACTGGGGGCATCTCTAAAGCCAGGTCGGAAGCTGCTCTCGGTCCTGCCTGAGGCCACGCGTGTGCCCAAGAGGGTTTGTGCCTTCATCTCCCCCTGCCTTTGCATCCATCCTGGGCTCTTGGTGTGCCCTGCCACCCCAGCTCCACTGCAGATGCCATCCCCAGGTGGTGAAACCGTCCCAAGCTCTGCTCACCAGTGACAGTGCAGAAGTCCCCACCTCTGGACTGGAAATGGAGCATGTAGCTCCAGCTCTTGGAGTTCAGCAGAGGAGCTGTGTGGCAGGATAATGCAGAGGAGGAGAGAGAAAAGCATCCTTCCCCCGGTCTTGAAACCCTAGCTGTCCCTGCAGCCACCAGCGCACCTTCTCCTGCAGCTCAGGCAACCAGCCAAGCTGTCTCCATCCACAGTGGCCAGTGCCGCCCTGTCCCCTCTCCATTGCCATCTTGAGTCCTGCCTGCTTGCTCCTCTCTGCCATGCTGACATATTTACCTTGGATACCTAGAAACCAGTGCCGCTGCACCCCCTCCTGTGCCATTCCCTCTGCTGCAAGCACGATTATTAGGGGAATATTTTTACACAGCGTGTCAGACCTTTAAAAATAAGCCTAATGAAAACAGCCTGGTACTTGGCTGATTAATCACCAGTGTTTTGATGAACTGAAATGCCTTCCCGTTTCCTCTAAATAGACTAAAATGAGCATTGCCATTGCTTGTTAGCATTTGTA